ACTGCCTTCCTGGGCTCAGGATTCAATGCTTTATTTTTAGCCCACATGTTGGACTGGGGCTCCAGAGATGTACTTGATGTACTTGATGCCTGAGGTGTAACCAGACCCCTGCCTGCTCCACTGGGAATGAGCTGGGAATCAATTGCAGAGGTGCAACCTCTGCCTCCCAGGCTCAAATTTACCACTGTAAATTTTATTTTATTTTATTTTTTTGAGATGGAGTCTTGCTCTTGTTGCCCAGGCTGGAGTGCAATGGCATGATCTCAGCTCACTGCAACCTCTGTCTCCCAGGTTCAAGCGATTCTCCTGTCTCAGCCTCCCTAGTAGCTGGGATTACAGGCACATGCCACCACACATGGCTAATTTTTGTATTTTTAGTAGAGATGGGGTTTCATCATATTGGTCAGGCTGGTCTTGAATTCCTGACCTCAGGTGATCTGCCCGCCTTGGCCACCCAATGTTGGGATTACAGGCGTGAGCCACCACACCTGGCCATAATTTCCTTTTTTTTTTTTTTTTGAGATGGAGTTTCACTCTTGTTACCCAGGCTGGAGTGCAATGGCGAGATCTCAGCTCACCGCAACCTCCGTCTCCTAAGTTCAGGCAATTCTCCTGCCTCAGCCTCCCGAGTCGCTGGGACTATAGGTGTGCGCCACCATGCCCAGCTAATTTTATTTTTAGTAGAGATGGGGTTTCACCATGTTGACCAGGATGATCTAGATCTCTTGACCTCGTGATCCACCCGTCTCGGCCTCCCAAAGTGCTGGGTTTATAGGCGTGAGCCACCGCGCCCGGCCAATTTCCTTTTTTAAAAGCTGATGATACACCATGCTTTGTTTATTCACTCACCCACTGAAGGACACTTGAGCTTCCCCTATTTGGCTACTGGAAATAATGCTGCTGTGGAAATGGGTGTACAGTTATCCCTTCAAGTCCCTTGTGGGCATATGTGCAGAAGTAGAGCTGCTGGATCATATGGTAAGTCTATTTTTAGCTCTTTGAGGAGTCCCTATACTGTTTTCCATAGCAGAAGTTGAAATGAAAAAAAAAAAAAAAAAACGGTTGCCCCTAGATTTGGGGCTTCTGCTAAGAAATTAGAGATCTGACCCCATTGGTCTTATACTTGCAGAACCAGCCTCTTCAGGCCCCTCAGAGACCCATCCCAGCTGAGCAGTGCCCTTCCCCCAGAGGTCTGTGTCCCAGCTCTGGAGGATATGCTCTCAATCTTCTCACTTCGTGTGTGTGTGTGTGTGTGTGTGTGTGTGTGTGTGTGTGTGTATGTGTGTGTGTGTGTTTTGAGACAGAGTCTTGCACTGTTACCCAGGCTGTAGTGCAGTGGCACGATCTTGGCTCTTGGCTCACAGCAATCTCTGCCTCCTGGGTTCAAGCAATTCTCCTGCCTCAGCCTCCCAAGTAGCTGGGACTACAGGCGTGCGCCACTATGCCCAGCTAATTTTTTTTGTATTTTTAGTAGACATGGGGTTTCACCATGTTGGCCCGGATGGTCTTGATCTCCTGACCTCGTGATCCGACCACCTCGGCATCCAAAAGTGATGGGATTACAGGAGTGAGCCACCATGCCTGGCCAATCTTTTCACTTCTAATAGCGTCAACCTTTCCTTTTTCCCTCCAGTCCTAGGCAGCTCCCTCAGCTACGCTTTGTGATACCACAGTTCCTTTCTGCTTTTCCAGTTCTTCTGCACCTCATTAACACGTCTCCTCTACTAACTTCTCTCTGTTAAAACACCTGGTGTGGTTTTTGTTCTCTTGGCTGACTGATCCCACTCAGCTGTGTTCTCATCTGGAATTGCTAGACAGCAGCTGCCCACTTTGGTCAGGCATTCACTCTTCTGTTCCCCTCTCCCTGCTCCCCACTTTTTTCATTTATGTGTATATATATATATATATATATATTTTAATAAAGATGGGGTTTCACCATGTTGGTCAGGCTGGTCTTGAACTCCTGACCTCAGGTGATCCGCCCACCTTGGCCTCCAAAGTGCTTGGATTACAGGCGTGAGCCACCACACCTGGCCTCATTTTTATTTTTTTGATATAGGGTCTCATTCTGTCACCCAGGCTGGAGTGCAGTGGCATGATCATGATTCACTGAAGCCTTGACTTCCTGGGCTCCAGCAGTCCTCCCACTCCAGCCTCCCAGGCAACTAGTTCACATGTTCACGGGTACATGCCACCATACCTGGATAATTTTTGTATTTTTGGTAGAGATAAGGTTTTGCCACGTTGCCCAGGCTGGTCTCAAGCTCCTGAGCTCAAGCAATCCACCACCTTGGCCTTCCAAAGTGCTGGGATTACAGGTGTGAGCCACTGCACCCAGCCCCCATTTTTCTACATCTTGCTGACTCTGCCTGCCTGACCCTAAGGGGATCTGATTTATGCTCCTGTCCGATGTAATAATGCCCATTGACTGAGCATCACCTATGTGCCAGAGTCTGTGCATAAGACTTTATTATCTCGGCCGGGCGCGGTGGCTCACGCCTGTAATCCCAGCACTTTGGGAGGCCGAGGCGGGTGGATCACGAGGTCAAGAGATCGAGACCATCCTGGTCAACATAGTGAAACCCCGTCTCTACTAAAAATACAAAAAATCAGCTGGGCATGGTGGCGCGTGCCTGTAATCCCAGCTACTCAGGAGGCTGAGGCAGGAGAATTGCCTGAACCCAGGAGGCGGAGGTTGCGGTGAGCCGAGATCGCGCCATTGCACTCCAGCCTGGGCAACAAGAGCGAAACTCCCTCTCAAAAAAAAAAAAAAAAAAAAAAAAAAGACTTTATTATCTCATGCAATTCTCAACATAACACTGTGAGGTGGGCACTGTTATGCTCCCCATTGTACAGATGAGGACATTGAGCCTGGGAGAGGGGAGGACTTGACCAAAATCACAGCCAGTGCTGGGTGCAATGGCTCAAGCCTCTAATACTAGCACTTTGGGAGGCCGAGGCGGGTGGATCACCTGAGGTTAGGAGTTTGAGACCAGCCTGGTCAACATAGTGAAAACCCGTCTCTACTGAAAATACAAAAATTAGCCGGGCATAGTGGTGGGCACCTATAGTTCCAGCTACTTAGGAGGCTGAGGCAGGAGAATCACTTGAACATGGGAGGTGGAGGTTGCAGTGAGCCAGGATCTCACCACTTCACTCCATCCTGGGCAAAACAGGAAAACTCTTTAAAAAAAAAAAAAAGTTACAGCCAGGCAGTGGCAGAGCTGGCCACAGGTACCCATCATTCCCATAAAATGAGGCTAACCACATTGTTCTCAAGTCAGCAAGTTCATTACAAATATTTGATCTGTGTACTCTGGGCTCCCTTTAAAGTAGGTTACATACAAGAACTTGAAATCAAAGCCTCAGAAATTACCTTTCTGAGTTTTGAGGACAGCATGGCTGTGACCATTAAGAACTCAGTCCAAGTTCAGGAGATCTATCATATAGCATGGTGACCATAGTTAATAACGATATATTGTATACTTGCAAAACAATAAAAGCAAGTGGGTTTTTACACTTGCAAGTATATAATACATTGCAAGTATACAGTACATCATAAAAAAGGTATGTGAGGTGATACATATGTTAATTAGCTTGATTTAGCCATTCCACATGTTTCAAAACATGTACACTATAAGTATATACAATTTTTATTTGTCAATTTTTTTGGTTTGAGATGGAGTTTCACTCCGGTTGCCCAGGCTGGCCTGCAATGGTGCAATCTTGGCTCACTGCAACCTCCGCCTCCCAGGTTCAAGCAATTCTCCTGCCTCAGCCCCCAGGGTAGCTGGGATTATAGGCATGCACCACCACACCTAGCTATTTTGTATTTTTAGTAGAGATGAGGGTTCTCCATGTTGGTCAGGCTGTTCTTGAACTCCTGACCTCAGGTGATCCGCCCACCTCAGCCTCCCAAAGTGCTGGGATTACAGGTGTGAGCCACCACATCTGGCCCTTGTTTAAAAAAATTTATTTTAGAGAGAAAGGGTCTTGCTCTGTCACCCAGGCTGGAGTGCAGTGGCTTGATCATACCTCACTGCAGCCCTGAACTCCTGGGCTCAAGCAGTCCTCCTGCCTCAGCCTCTTGAGTAGCTGGAACTACAGGTATGTACAGGTATGTGCCACCACATCTGGTCATTAAAAAAAAATTGTAAAGATTGGTGGGGGGGTCTCACTATGTTGCCCAGGCTGGTCTTGAACTCTTAGCTTCAAGTGACCCTTTGCCTGAGCCTTCCAAAGTGCTAGGATAACAGGTGTGAGCCCCCATGCGTGGCTGCCATTTTGTTTATGATGATCATTTTCCTGCCTTTTTGTTGGGAGCAAAAAAAAACAATGGTTTTAGTCCCCAGCATCTTACCTGCATCAGGTTCACCAGGGGGCCCCAGCCTGGTGGCTCCCTGCCTCCGGGCAGTGGACTATTCGTCTCTCCCGGATGGCTCTGTAGCACCTGAGAGCACACCTGTATAGTCTGGGATTTCAGAAAAACCATGAGCCCAGGGCTGGGTGCGGTGGCTAATGCCTGTAATCCCAGCACTTTGGGAGGCCGAGGCGGGTGGATCACGAGGTCAAGAGATCGAGACCATTCTAGTCAACATGGTGAAACCCTGTCTCTACTAAAAATACAAAAAATTAGCTGGGCATGGTGGTGTGTGCCTGTAATCCCAGCTACTCAGGAGGCTGAGGCAGGAGAATTGCCTGAACCCAGGAGGCAGAGGTTGCAGTGAGCCGAGATCGCATATCATGCCACTGCATCCCAGCCTGGTGACTCCGTCTCAAAAAAAAAAAAAAAAAAAAAAAAAAAAGCCCAAACAGATTGATCACAGCTTGCAGAGCCCAGGGTCTCCTCCAGTGACCTTCCAGAATCTTCCTGCTGGTCCAGGTACTGTGAAGGCTCAGGCCCCACACCCACCCTCTGCCTTCCATCCTGGCAGCTGGGTTGCACAGCAGTACTGCCCAATGATGCCCCTGCCAGCGCTGGTGCCACCATTCAGACTTCATGGAAGGAAAGGTGTTCTCTTTATTGGTCTGGCTTGGCCTCCTGCACATCTCTCAGAATGCTGCTCTGTGCTTGTGGGCTCAGGGGTCACATTGGTGGTCACACTGGGGCCTGCCTCTGCTGCCCACCTGGCAGTGGCCTCAGTCAGTCTTCCTGAATCCTGGAAGGCAAAGGCCACAGGATGGGATGGGATTCTGAAAGCAGTCAGGCTTCATCCCTACCATCACCTCAGATGCCCAAGTACCCCTCACAGCTGGCATGATGTAATCACCCCGAAGCCGTGGGTCTCAGTGACCCGCAGTCATAGCAGCTACTTTTATTTTTCTTCATTACATGGATTAAAGGAGACAGATATTTCCCAGCACAGCCACACAGCCACTTGGCACCTCCATTCGGAGGCATAAGGTAGGCACAGAGCTATCAGTCAACAAAGACAATGTGCTTTCACCCAGCCAAGCCACTCAAGCTGTGTGACTGTGGGTGAGTCACTCCACCTCTCTGAGTCTCGGTTTCCCATTGGTCAAGTGTAAGATTGCTAAAGCCTACCTTCCCAGTTGCTATTAGGCAAGTACAGCCATGGAGAAGATCGCATTTGGGGAAGTGCCAAGTTCTATAAGAGAATGAAGACTAACCAGACGCCTCTCATTTTTCTACTGTTTCACACTTCAGGCCTTTGCATCCATTCCCCACTTGATCTTCACAACACCCTGAAACATCATTGAAAAAAACTGCACCCTTGTGCAGCAGGAAAGTATTACACCCATTTTCCAGAGGGAGGAAACTGAGGCTACACGGCTCATCCAGAGTCACAGAACTAGTAAATTGGCAGAGGTAGGACTCAAACCAGGGTCCTTTGCCTCCAGGCTGTGTTTTTTCCTGTATGCTAAGCCTCTTTCTAAATGAAGACCCTGCTAGGGAGAAAAAGAGTGAACACAGGAAAACTTTAAAAGTTACCTGTCAGCCTGAACTTCTGGAAGAGGGGGATGAAGCCTTGCAGGACGCTGTGGATACGGTACACTGCTCAGAAGCAAAGAAAAAAGTGAGTTAAGTTTGTGCCCCCACAAGGGATACCTGGCCACCACTGGACAAGGGCTAACTCACGCAAACAAAGCTCTGATGGTGGAATTCCAGGCAGCAGCTCAAGCTTAGATAACGGCACTGGAGTTATTATTACTAAAAACAACAACAGTGAACAGCAGGAACAGTGGCAGGAAACTCACTTGCCAAATTCAGTTCCCAACTCCATTAACTAAGTTGTTTTCACTATCTGGCTAGCTCTATTTTGCTTGCCACTTTTATATATTTATTTTACAGGCAGAGTCTTACTATCTTGCTCGGGCTGGATGAACTCCTGGGCTCAAGCGATCCTCTTGCCCCAATCTCCTGATTAGCTGGGATTACAGATGTGTGCCCTGGGCCCAGCCTGTTTGCCCCTGTTACTGTTGCATTGTATGGAGCTGTCCATTTTTCCTACAGGGTTTTGCCAGTGACCTCACATTGACCTTGAAAGTGGTCAGGAAGAAAACAAGCATAAGGAAAAAACATTTTTTTTTTTTTGAGATGTAGTCTCACTCTGGTTCAGGCTGGAGTGCATGATACAATCGGTTCACTGCAACCTCCACCTCCTGGGTTCAAGTGATTGTCCTGCCTCAGCCCGAGTAGCTGGGACTACAGGTGCCTGCCACCATGCCCAGCTAATTTATTTTATACTTTTAGTAGAGACGGGGTTTCACCATGTTAGCCAGGATGGTCTTAATCTCCTGACCTTGTGATCCACCCACCTTGGCCTCCCAAAGTGCTGGGATTACAGGTGTGAGCCACTGTGCCCAGCCGGAAAATTTTTTTGGAAAGTCTAGATTGTGACTCTCTGGTCCATACTTGAATGAGTATGAAAATGAATATTTCTACCCACCACCTCTCCAAGAGACTGTGTGTGTGTGTGTGTGTGGTGTGTGTGTGTGTGTGTGTGTGTGTGTGTGGTGTGTGTGTGTGTGTGTGTGTGTGTGGTGTGGTGTGTGTGTGTGGTGTGTGTGTGTGTGTGTGTGGTGTGTGTGTGTGTGTGTGTGTGTGTGTGTATGCTGGGGAGGGGCTTACCTAGTCCGAAGTAGATGCCAACGGTTTCCAGGGAGGCGAAGGTGAGCAGGCCAACCCCAAGGGACATGAACCAGTCTGGAAGGGCAGTGAGGGAGGGAAAGGTCAGCCTCCAGGTCATGATGCCCCTGTCCCTCCCCCCACATCACCCCCCTGCGTATTCCCCAGGGTTCCTCCCCTCACCTGCGTAGAAGTGATAACACACCAGCAAGGCCCCGATGGCAAAGCACAGGAGGACGAAATGGAAAAACTCATCTGTGAAGGCAGGGGTGGGGAATCACCATCTGCTGCTTTCCCTCTCTTTTTTTTGGCAGGGGAGACAAGGCCTTGCTCTGTCACCCTGGGTTGGAGTGCAGTTGTGGGATCACAGCTCATTGCAGCCTTGAAGTCCTAAGCTGAAGCAATTCTCCTGCTTCAGCCTCACAAGTAGGGAGGCCTACAGGTGCATGCCATGACACCCAGCTAAGTTTTAAAATTTTTAGTAGAGACAAGGTCTCTCTATGTTGCCCAGGCTGGTCTCAAACTCCTGGCCTCAAGTAATCCTCTCATCTCAGCCTCCCAAAGTATCGGGATTACAGCTGTGAGCCACCATGCCTTGCCCCTCCCTCGCCTTTTTTTTCTGTTTTTTAATTACAAAAAGTCTCTGTGTCAAGTACCAGTCTTTCCTTCCCCACCCTGCCCAACTTCCTCCTGGAAGTGCCCATGGATTCCAGGCCTGGAGCAGGGACGTCCTTCCTGCTTTCACTGCTCCTTTCCCAGAAAGGAGCTCAGCTGACCTGGAGCTCCCCATCCTGGCCACAAGGCCTGGAAGACATTTACCATCCTAGTGACTGTGCATAGGAGAAAGAGCAGAGGACCAGGCCTCAGGCTCAGGCCACGCCACTCACAAGATATAAGGCCACTCCCCAAACCTGAACCTCAGTTTTCATATCTGAAAAATGAGAATGATTGTCCCACCCTCTGGAGGTGATTCTGAGCTGAGTGATGTGTGAACTGCAGGGCACACAACAGAGGTGGGCTATGATTACTGCTGTGCTAGGCCACCAGCCACATTTCACCCCTGGAAATCTAGCCAGACAGGAAAAAGCAGCTATGCAACACCAAGTTCCTTACCATCTTTCTTTATATTCAGTCTTCTTAACTGAGAGGCCTCCACTTCTCCTTAGGAACAAGAGAGAGATGAGTGTTTAACTTTGATGCAGGATGGCAGGTGGGATTTCCTCTTCCCTGCTTCATTGAGAATTAATATCCTGGGTATTTCTTCCTGGGTCAGAGGGCACTCACTGCATGACCCGTCAAGCCAAACCATGAAGATGGGGGTGCTGTCCATGGAACGCCCACTGACCCCCTCCTCCTTCCTCAGGCCTGAGTCTGCCTTCCATTCCATTTCCCCTGCACTGGAGATCCCCCTTCTGAATCATAGTGACACTGGCTGGTGACAGCATTCCTGCTGGGAATAACCCACCGTCTCAGGCTGTCCGAGGTCCCAACCCATCATCTGGAATCCAGACCCGCTCTGGCTCTGCTATTTGGGCTTGTATATTTACCATTTGGTGGGTCAGAGCCTCTCCTTCGGAGTCCTGGAAACAAGAAACTCAACATTAGTGCCCAACCCAGCTTGGGGTACTTAACAGGTACCTCTACTCTGGGGAAGGCTATAGGTGACCTAAAAATATATCCCCATGGAATTCTGCAGTCCCCAAGGGATCCTTCTCTCTATTGATGACTGGTTGTAATCTCCTTGCGTCTTGCTGGGACACCTTTCCAGGCTCCCCAGGCTCCCTGCTTCATGACGCAGCTTGCCCAGGCTGCTTGATGAGCCTACGCTCAGTGGACCTTGGGCTCCTGTTGCTCACAGCCAGGTACCCCAACAGGAGCTGGCTTTCTTGGGGGAGACTTGATACCTAGACCCGGCTCAACATGAGCTCCAAAGACCTCTCTCCCCTAACTGGACACTCACCTGATTCCCCAGCGGGTACCACCTCTCCCGGAGCATCTGCACAGAAAGGAAATCAGTGATCATAAACCCATGATCTCTGGGGTGGGAGAAGTCATACTTCAAGGAAGGTGGATTCTGTTCAGAGACTTTCCGCTTAATCTGGAGTGGGCCAGGTGGGGAATGGAGCTGGCTGGAAGGTTCCTGTTCCAACTAAAGGGGCAACCGCCACCCACCAGCCCCGGAAAGCTGCAGTAGGAACGCCTGCCCACTCTTACAGGTCTGTCAATTACCTCTGAAAAGCCAGGTTTTCAGATAAACTTCCTGAGTATAATAAAGTTTGACAACTCTTGTATTCCATGAATGAAAATGCCATTGCTGTGACACATGACATTATTTTATGTGCTACTATGTAAGAAAAATCCCTGCCAGGTATAAGTAAGTTGCCAGTGATTTTTTTTTAATAGAAATAGGATCTTGCTATGTTGCCCCACCTGGTCTTGAACTCCTGGGCTCAAGCAATCCGCCCACCTTGGCCTCCCAAAGTGCTGGGATTATAGTCGTGAGCTATGGTGCTTAACTCTGCCAGTGATTTTTAAGATGCATCTTGGGCCAGGTGCAGTGGCTCACGCCTGTAATCCAAACACTTTGGAGGCCAAGGTGGGTGGATCACCTGAGGTCAGGAGTTCAAGACCAGCCTGACCAACATGGTGAAACCCTGTCTTTTTTAAATAAATAAAAAAATAAAAATAAAAATAAGAGATGCATCTTGATTTCAGAAATATTCAAATGTGAAAAAAATGTGGTATAGAATTGATGAAATATATTCACATTCATAATTTTATTTTAAAAATTTATTTATTTAGAGACGGTTTCTCTCCCTGTCACCCAGGTTGCAGTCAGTGGTGCAATCATGACTCACTGCAGTCTCAAACTCTTGTGCTCAAGTGATCTTCCTGCCTCAGCCTCCCAAGTAGCTGGGATTACAGGTGTGAGCCACTGTGTCTGACTCTCACAATCATAATTTTATTTATTTACTTATTTATTTATTGGAGACACAGTCTTACTCTGTTGCCCAGGCTGGAGTGTAGTGGTGTGATCTCAGCTCACTGTAACCTCCACCTCCCTGGTTCAAGTGATTCTCCTGCCTCAGACTCCTAAGTAGCTGGGATTACAGATGTGTGCCACAACACCCAGCTAATTTTTGTATTTTTAGTAGAGACAGGGTTTTGCCATGTTGGCCAGGCTGGTCTCGAACTCCCAACCTCATGATCTGCCTGTCTCGGCCTTCCAAAGTGCTGGGATTACAAGCGTGAGCCACCATGCGCAGCCACACAATCATCATTTTAAAAAAGCATTCTGTGTGGGCCAGGTGCAGTGGCTCACGCTTGTAATCCCAGCACTTTAGGAGGCCGAGGTGGGTAGATCACTTGAGTCCAGGAGTTTGAGACCAGCCTGGGAAACATGGTAAAACCCTGTCTCTACCAAAAATATAAATATTAGCTGTGCATGATGGCAGATGCCGGTAGTCCCAGCTTCTCAGGAGACTAAGGCAGGAGAATCACTTGAGCCCGGGCAGTGGAGGTTGCAGCAAGCCGAGATGGCCCCATTATACTCCAGCCTGAGTGACAGAGTGAGACCTCATTTCAAAACACAAAAAATAAAAAACAAATCTCCCCACTCTGCCAAAAAAAAAAAAATTCTGTGAGCCAGATAAAAAGCATGTGCCCACATGGGCCACCCATTTGCATGTACCTGCTCCAGGCTATCCAGATGCAGGTGATGATAGCTGCTGCCTTTTACCCATAGAACTCTGGACTAGACAGGCAACTCCAAGCTCATGCCATCTTGGTGGCTCCCAGACCTACCAGGCTCCGAGCATGTGGGAGCCAAGCTGGCTTGCACACCTGGATCCATGGCTCCCAGCCTGATTGTTGAGCCACTTGTCTGGGCTGCTGAGGGTGAGTTGAGCCCTAAAGACCTGAGCTGCCATCTCTGCATTAATCCAGTCCTGAGTGTCCTTCCCACACCATTCACCATGTGGTTTTTGGTGGCTGTTCTAGTTCCCTGGTGACCTTGTTCCTAGCCTCTCATCTTCTTCCCCTCAAGGGCAGACAGGCACTTCCATGATCTTCCCACCATCAGGCCCCAACTTCTGTACATTTCCTGTCCCTCAGGGCAGCCCTAGGACACAAACACCACAAGGGGCACTTAGCATGTGACAATAGGCACTCAGCACACTGAACACCATCTGCAAAGGGACCAGAGGGGCCAATACGGAGATGCAGAGAACACACCAAGGACAACATGGAATGAGACTCAAGCAGTGCAGTTTACTAAGCATCTCCAATGTCTGGGGGAAAGAAGTCATTCATGAATAAGTGACAGTATCTACATTTCCTATGGCAAATATGAATTAGGTAATAAGAAAAATATTTTACAATATGCATAAACCTAACAGTTTATCTTATTTTATACCCAGTGGAAACTTTCTTAAATTACTTAAGTGATGAACAACTTTTCTAAACCAGGTTATACTTGTTTTTTTTTTTTTTTTTTTAACAAAAAAGAAAGAAAGAGAGGAAAGAGAGAAAGAAAAGGAAGGAAGGAGAAAGAAAGGAAGGACCAGGTGCAGTGACTCACACCTGTAATTCTAGCACTTTGGGAAGCCAAGGTAGGAGGATCACTTGAGCTCAGTAGTTCAAGACCAGCCTGGGCAACATGGCAAAACCTTGTCTCTGTTAAAAACTACAAAAAACTAGCCAGATGTGGGGGCACACACCTATAGTCTGAGCTACCTGGGAGATTGAGGTGGCAGGATGATCTGAGCCCAGGAGGCTGAGGCTACAGTGAGTCATGATCACGCCACTGCACTATAGCCTGAACAACAGAGAGAGACTGTCGCTAAAAAAATTTAAAAATACCCACAATACCGCTTACCCAGAGGCAGTCATTGGTTGTATTTGATACACAACAAATGAAGTCTCTTCTTTAGCATATACGTAAGTGTTTTCCAGTTTTACTTAGGTTATTACCCGGCATTAGGAGACTATGTAGATTTTGGAAACACTGGATTAAACACAGATATAAAGGCTTTCTTATCTGATAGCGTGCATTTGTCATGTTCTTTGGCAAAAGAGTTAATTCTACAAGTTTTATTTCACCCTAGTGCTGCCAACCAAAGTGCCATGTTGATGCCTCCTCATTGTAGTAATCAGGGTGTTGGAAATAATTATACTGTAAAATGGGTATTGTGGATCCTTAATTTTTCCTTGTATGTTGAAACAGCCCAGTATTCCAAGAGAGGGTGTACCAAGCATGTCCCATTCTGCTGGTTGAGGAGCTGAGGCCCAGAAAGGTGGGTGAATCTTCACGGTCACCCCATAAGTCAAGGTTATAGCTCAGAAGGAAATGCAGGATTTCCTCAAGACAGTCTCATGGCGAAAAGTACCCACACCCCCACCTGCCAATGTTATAACCACCCAACTCGCCACATCCCCTGTGTTTGCCTGGGACTTTTCAGGTCATGAAACATCCTCATGACCTTGTTTCTGCCCAGCAAAGCCCTCCTTTCCTTCATCTGTTTTCTCCAAAGCCACTGGGCATCTGATTACCTCCATAGAGTTGAAGCTCATTCGTCAAAATGTCAGGCTCCCCACGGCCAGGACCTGGATGGAGACAAACCCCTTAATCAGCACTCCCCAAACACAGTGACCCAGTCCTCTTCCATCTCCCATGACTTTGAAGCTTAAGAAGTACCACAGTCCTTGTGCTGGAGGTGAGGTGGGGGGTGGTCTTCAAGAGGCAAGGCAGCACAAGTACCTTTCCTTTGCACTCTCTGATGCCCTCAGAACTTCCAGAGGTGACCACATTCAGAAAGCACTCAAGACCTGAGAGGACCCGGACCTTGCTCAAGGTTAATAGAAGATATCTATTGGGTGCTAGCACGCACCAACACTGTTCAAGGTGACTTATATTTAATACTTCATTTGTTCCTCACGGACACCCTATGAAGAAGATATCAGTACCTACTCCACCCATTATACAGATGAGGACACTGAGGCTCAAAAAGTTAAATTATTCCTATAATCCAAGCACTTTGGAGGCCAAGGCGTGTGGATCACATGAGGTCGGGAGTTCAAGACTAGCCTGACCAACATGGTGAAACCCCGTCTTTTTATTTAAAAAAAAAAAAAAAAGTTAAATTATTTTCCCGAAGTCACATAGCCAGTAAGTGGCAACACCACCAGGTCTATTGCCAAAGCCTGCATTTCTAATCTTGTTTATGAAATAGAACCCAGAGAAATAGAACCCGGAGCTCATCTCTAGCCTTATGGGCAGCATTTATTAAACACCTTCTGTGTGCCAGTTTCTGTACTAGGCAATGCAGCCCTTTTCCGTGTGTTCTCTCCTTCCTACGAAATTCGTCTTCTTTTGCAAAAATTATTTCCTTCTGGTCGTAAAAATAGAACATGCTCTGCCGGGCGAGGTGGCTCATGCCTATAATCCCAGCACTTTGGGAGCCTGAGGCAGGTGGATCACCTGAGGTCAAGATCAGCCTGACCAACATGGAGAAACCCCGTCTCTACTAAAAATACAAAATTAGCCAGGTGTGGTGGCACATGCCTGTAATCCCAGCTATTCGGGAGGCTAAGGCAGGAGAATGGCTTGAACCTGGGAGGTGGAGGTTATGGTGAGCCAAGATCGTGCCACTGCACTCCAGCCTGGGCAACAAGAGCAAAACTTAAAATAAAATAAAATAAAACGTGCTCATTGTAAATTATTTATAGTATAGGACAGTTCAAAAAAGAGAAAATAAAAATCACTTGCAATTCCACTACCCTGAGATAACCACTATTAACATTTTGGCATTTTCCCTTTCACTCTTGATTATAACCATATATGTCTGAATTTTTATAAAGCATATATGAGATGGAATTAATTCTATGATTTGGCATCTTTCTTTTTCACTTCAGCGATAGATGAAGAGCAGAGCTGTCACCAGGACAGAGTGTAGCATCCTTTATCTCGTCTGCTGCTGTCAGGCTACTTCCTATTTTATCCAGCTGTAAACAATGCTGTGAAGAACATCTTCACACAGGCAGGCTCAGTCCCACTGAGAAACTCAACAGTGAGCGAGCGGGCAAAAGAAAAATGGTAAGGCCTATTGCCTACCAGGTGAGCTGTTCCCATGGGGGTGTCCAGCCCCCCGGCTCCGTCGACGTTTTCCATTTGCTCTGGGATGCTGGTCCTCATCACTGCTGTCTGCAGGGAACAAACACAAGCTGCAGGAGAAGCTCAGCCTGGTCATTCTCGTGGCCATTCTCAGAATTTACTTTGTGCAAAGAGTGTGGTTTGGTGGGAGGAACTCTGATTTGGGGACCGGAGGTAGAAGACCCACCACTCACTTTCTGTGTGACTTTGGACAAATCCTCTAATATTTCTGTTAATTTTGTGTCTACATGATATTTCTGCTGCTGCCTTGCCTACTTCATAAGACATCCGTGAAGATAAGACAAAGTCCCATGAGGCATCATGGTACTGAGATGGCTTCCATCCCGCCAAGTGCAGGGGCTGTGTCATCTCTCTTTCCCCACCCATCACGCTGGCTTTGGGTGTTTGCTGTGTCTCCCACCCCCCTGGAATATCCTTCCTGTTTGTCCGTCTTATTAAGAAGCCTAAGCTGATGTCACACCTCCTGTAGAAAGCCTTTGCCAACTGCCTCAGCTCACACTGGTCTTGCCTTTCCCCCCTGGGATTTCTGTAGCACCAGCTGTCTGTCCTTGACTCAGTGGACATGAGGGCCAGAGACCTTGTGATGTGCTCCACTCCAACCATTTCATCTCCTGAAGGACATGACCTGGGTTCTCCACCCTGTGAGGGTATCCAGCTGGGAACAGGAGCTTGATCAAGACTTGAAAAATAGTTATCATTTGTGCTCTTTGGCCAGTCAGCATTCCAAGAATTCAGGTCTAGGTGTTTCTGTCTCCAGGTCCAAAGGACTCCTTCATCCCCAAACAGGACCGTGGGGACCTCCTGGTCAGTCATGGGTAAATTTTTTAAATTCCAGGAAACCAGATTAATTGTGCTTAAACATCAGTACATCTGTGATCTCAACTGGATATGTAGGAAGAGGGATTAGGAAGCTCAACAAAATAACAATAGTGGTGTTTATCTCAGGAGGGAAGATTTTGGGTGACTTCCATTTTTTTCTTTTCTATATTTTACAAATATTCATGAGTACAAAAAATGATTTATTGCTAAAAAGATAATGCATGTTAAAAAATAAAGAAATACAGAAAATAAAATAAAAATTACTCCAATTTTTTTTTCTGAGACGAAGTTTGACTTTTGTTGCCCAGGCCGGAGTGCAATAGTGCAGACTTGGCTCACTGCAACCTCCGCCTCCCAGGTACAAGAGATTCTCCTGTCTCAGCCTCCCAAGTAGCTCAGATTACAGGCATGCGCCACCATGCCTGACTAATTTTTTTTTGTATTTAATAGAGTTGGTGTTTCGCCATGTTAGTCAAGCTGGTTGTGAACTCTTGACCTCAGGTGATCCACCTGCCTCGGCCTCCCAAAGTGCTGGAATTACAGGTATGTGCCACCGCACCCGGCAATTACTCCAAATTTTATCAGCTAGAGACAACTGCCATCAACATGTGAATGAACAATTGTTTTCGCTTTCTCTGTTATATATTCATAACACAATTTTTTTTGGAGGCAGGATCTCACTCTGTCACCCAGGCTGGAGTACAGTGGTACAATCAGGGCTCACTGTAGCTGTGACCTCCTGGGCTCAAGAGATCCTCACGCCCTAGCCTACTGAGTAGCAGGGATTACGGGTGTGTGCCACCACACCCAGTTGATTTTTTGTATTTTAGTAGAGATGGGGTTTTGCCATGTTGCCCAGGCTGGTCTTGAACTCATGGACTCAAGTGATCCATCAGCCTTGACTTCCCAAGGTGCTGGAATTACAGGCATGAGCTACTGTGCCCAGCCTAACACAAATATTTTTATAAAAGGTATTATGGAATATATGCTGTTTAAAATGAAGACCATTTTTATATATGCTCTCTAATTCAGTTATTTTAAAAAATTACCCAGCCTGCAGAACTGTGAGCTAAATACATCTCTTTTCTTTTCTTTTTTGTTTTTTGAAATAGAGTCTCACTCTGTGACCCAGGCTGGAGTGCAGTGGCATGATCTTGGCTCATTGCAACCTCTGCCTCCCCAGGCTTAAGCTATTCTCCTACCTCAGCCTCCAAGTAGCTGGGATTATGGGCGCCTGCCACCCACCTGACTACTTTTTGTATTTTTAGTAAAGATGGGGTTTCGCCATGTTGGCCAAGCTGGTCTTGAACTCCTGACCTCAGGTGATCTGCCCACCTTGGCCTCCCAAAGTGCTGGGTTTGCAGGAGAAAGCCACTGTGCCTGGCCTCTTTTCTTTATAAATTAAAAAAAAAAAAATTAGCCGTGGCAGAAAGACTGTTCATTGCTATTGTCCCTAGTACCTACCACAAAGACTGGCACATACTTGGTGCTCCGTAAATATTTGTTAACCAAATGTAAGGAATACGTTATTATGTTTTGGGTGGTTATTTCTGGGTAAGAGAGCAAAAGGTGATTTATTTTCTCCTATTTCTTTTTTTTTTTTTTTTTTTTTTTTGAGACGGAGTTTCGCTCTCGTTACCCAGGCTGGAGTGCAATGGCACGATCTCGGCTCACCGCAACCTCCGCCTCCTGGGTTCAGGCAATTCCCCTGCCTCAGCCTCCTGAGTAGCTGGGATTACAGGCACGCACCACCATGCCCAGCTAATTTTTTGTATTTTTAGTAGAGACGGGGTTTCACGATGTTGACCAGGATGGTCTCGATCTCTTGACCTGGTGATCCACCCGCCTCGGCCTCCCAAAGTGCTGGGATTACAGGCTTGAGCCACCGCGCCCGGCCTCTCCTATTTCTTTTCCCTGTATTCTCTATATTTTCCACAATGTGCCTATGTGTAATCTTCTATAGTTGAAAACAAAACTTCATCTAAAAATAACTGGATTACAACAGGTTATGTGGGAGAGAGACCCTGGGTGTGACTATGAGCGAGGGTCCTGCATGTGAAGACAGCAGGGCTGCAGTGAGGCACCCAGGCGTGGGGCCCTAGGGTAACGGGTCACTGTCCAGGCCTGAAAAACAGGCAGTCATGTTCTGGCAGTGTTCCATTTGGCTAATTTCAGCTGGTCCCACGTGTGAGGTGGAGACTCCAGGGCGCCTGGGTGCCAGGGATTATGGTCACATGGAGGACATTTTGGGAGGAGCAGCACTCCTTGAGGGACAACCAGAACCAGGGGACAGAACACTCCTTCCTGCCCAGGGAGGAGGAACACAGGGACAGGCAGCAGCCCTCTCCCCTGCACCTGGAAGCCCTTCTTCCAGAGCCAAACCTGGTATGTGGTAGGCTTGTGTGTTTTCTCGTTTTTTGTTTTTAAATGGGTAGGTGGCTTCCTTTCCAGTGCCATGAGGAGACTGGCTACAAACAGACCCACGGGGCCACCGACCACTCTCCTGCCTCTGCTGAAATGATCATTGATTCTGTGGCTTTGGGCCTCAGTCTCAGCATTTGCAACATGAGGACCTAAGACCAGAGTTTTTTTTTTTTTCTTTTCCCTTCCAGCCCAGGGAAACTTTCATCAAATAAAATCTTAAGCCCACAGCATAAAATAGATCATAGTGCAGGAGCTCTGGCTGAGGAGGGTTAGCCTCCCAGATCCCACAAAGATCTGCCATGTTGGCTACTAAGCTCTCTTACAGCAGGTCAGTTGGCCTCTCTGTGCCTCAGTTTTCTTACCTGCAAAATGGAAATAATATTAGTACCTTCCTCTATGGGTTGCTGTGAGAATTGAGTTTTTATAGGCAAATGCTTAGAACAGTTCCCAGCACAGAGTAAGCACTCAATAAATGTGACTGCTTTTACTCCTATAAATTCAGCCTTACATTTTGAATTTAAAAAATACAAATGAAAGAACATTCTACTGTTTCTTGGAGAATAATGTGGTTATTTGTAATCAAGAAGCTATTGGAAGTCAGGCACGGTGGCTCGTGCCTGCAATTCCAGCACTTTGGGAGGCCAAGGCAGGCAGATCACCTGAGGTCAGGCGTTCAAGACAAGCCTGGCCCACATGGAGCAACCCCGTCTCCACTAAAAATACAAAAATTAGTCAGGCGTGACGGCAGGTGCCTATAATCCCAGCTTATTGGGAGGCTGAGGCAGGAGAATCACTTGAGCCCAGGAGGCAGAGGTTGCAGTGAACTGAGATCACCCCACTGTACTTCAGCCTGGGTGACAGGGCAAGAGTCTGTAAAAAAAAAAAAAAAAAAAAAAGGCTGGGCACAGTGGCTCACGCCTGTAATCCTAGCACTTTGGGAGGCTGAGGTGGGCAGATCACGAGGTCCAGAGATTGAGACCATCCTGGCCAACATGGTGAAACCTCGTCTCTACTAAAAAATACAAAAATTAGCTGGGCCTGGTGGCGTGCGCCTGTAGTCCCAGCTACTCAGGAGGCTGAGGCAGGAGAATTGCTTGAACCCGGGAGGCAGAGGTTGCAGTGAGCCAAGACCGTGCCACTGCACTCCAGCCTGGCACCTGGCGACAGAATGAGACACTGTCTCAAAAAAAAAAGAGATGATTTTGGAGATGTCATTCCTTTAAACCTACTAAAGTACTTATTTGTAGGGAATCAATACTTAGGATATGATTTGTACAAAAATTCAAAAGACAAAAGCTTTCGTACAAGGACACTCATGAGCATGATAAAGCTGGGAGGGAAAGATCATAACATGACAATTATTTTCAGAGCTTTTACTATGGTCTATGAGCTAAGACTTCACCTGTATAACAAATTTAATCCTCACAAGAATCCCATGAGGTATTAAGTATTGCTATCATCCCCATCTTATAGAAGAGGGCATTGAGGCAGCCAGGGGTCGAGCAGTTTACCCAATGACATGTAGCTAGTTAGCGGCAAAGACAGGATTTGAACCTGTAACACATGCTTTGACTATGGCACTGGGGTGCCCCTAATAAACCTAAATGTTACTTTACAGGAGATGCAGCCACTTGAGGGGTTGTTCGGTAAACATTTAAAATAGCTACAGAGGTATTACAGGATAACATGACAAAAAGCTTGGGATAAGATGGAGAAAATTTTAAATGGAGAACAAATTGCCTATATGATCAATTATAACTGTGTACATAGAAGCACGTGTAGACAGATGGGCTCTAGAAAAGAATGTGAAGAAACAGTATTGGAGTTTCAAGTACTTGAATGACCTGAAGTATGGGGGGTTGTTTCCCCATGTAAATGTTTTTCTTGAATAATATACATATATTTAAATGTTCGCTATACCTGAAGAGGAGGAGGAGGAAGAAGAGGAAGATGAGGAGGAAGAGGAAGAAGAGGAAGAAGACTTGTCTCTCTCATACTGTTCTTGGGAAAAGAGTCCAGCCTTCCTGTCTTGCTTGTGGAAATCTGTCTCTCCACCTGCAAGGCACACAGAGGCCAGGGGATGAGTGTTTCCCATCCTTCCCACCCCAGGGACCACCCAGCCCCCTCCAGGGTTCTACTTGGACTTGGGGAGCCAAGAAGGACTGGATTATCTTCCCAGACATCTAGGGCCAATGCAACATGCAGGAGACCAAGGCTCTCAGAGATGCCGGGGCTCAAGGAAGGCTCAGTACAGAGATTTATCTCAATACGGATTCCAGAAAAGGGGTTTCTAAGCTCCCTACCCTGCCCAGAGACAGCTAGACTCTGTAGTTGCCAATTTAGGATCCTCTGTAAATTACAGTCAAGATGGTGTGTTATCAAGCCCTAAACCTTCCCATTCCCCATTCTGGGGTCACACAAGACCCTCTCCACCTTCTGGGGGTGCTCCCTAGTGTCAGCCCAAGCCCCAGAGTATTCTTGAGATTTGGCGAGCAGCTGAGGGTCCCCATAGTTAGACAGCACAGGAGGACAGACTGGACCATGCACATGTGTGTGTGGATGTGTGTAAAATCACCACTTCTCCATTTCAACTGTGATTTGAGGCCCTGTGCAACATGAGCTGAGCAGGGTCTTCTTCTGTCCCTTCTACTTTTGGACTCTACCTCCCATGTGGATTTACCCAGAGGATCAGAGAAGGCAAACATACAGTCTAGATCTTCTGTTTCTCTGTGGACTCGACTGTTGTCTTGAGGCTGGGAGGAGGATCCCGAAGTCTCCATGGCTTTCCTTGGAGGAATAACAATCAGTAGTTAATATTACCTTAGTTAGTATCTTAATATATAAAGAGCTTGGCAGTTGGATCAGAAAAGACAAACACTCAACATTCAAAAGAATAAGAAAAATAATTAACAAAAAAATGGTAGTTCTGTTAGCAAACAAGAAGGCCAGGGGTAGTGGAGGGAGAAAGATTAAGGAAGTGGGGAATCAGGGTGGTAGGTATTGATTAGACAGCTAGCATGGGGGCAGGGGGCTTTACGAAGGAAGTCAGTTTTTTTTGTTTTTTTTTTTGAGACGGAGTTTCGCTCTTGTTACCCAGGCTGGAGTGCAATGGCGCGATCTCGGCTCACCGCAACCTCTGCCTCCTGGGTTCAGGAAATTCTCCTGCCTCAGCCTCCTGAGTAGCTGGGATTACAGGCACGCGCCACCAGGCCCAGCTGATTTTTTGTATTTTTAGTAGAGACGGGGTTTCACCATGTTGACCAGGATGGTCTCGATCTCTTGACCTCGTGATCCACCCGCCTCGGCCTCCCACAGTGCTGGGATTACAGGCTTGAGCCACCACGCCCAGCCTAGGAAGTCAGTTTTTATCTGTGCCTGGAAAGTCAGGTACAAATCTTTTTTTTTTTTCTTTTCTTTCTTTTTTTTTTCTTTGTTTCTTTTTTTTTTTTGTAGAGAGGGTGTCTCTATGTTGCCCAGGCTGGTCTTAAACTCCTGGTCTCAAGCAATTCTCCCATCTTGGCCTCCCGAAGTACTGGGATTACAGGTGTGAGCCTCCATGTCCAGCCTAGTTACAATTTTGACAGGAATGCATTTGAAGTTGATGAAACAACTTCAATCACACAAACAAGGCCAACATCCAGGAATGACTAAGCAAAAAGGCAAGGGAGCCCTGGGCCCCAGCAGGCCTCCCACACAGAGAACCACCTGCCACCTCTGGACAGCTACGTGCACAGAAAAGAAGTTAGTTTGTTTGGTGTTTTTTTTTTTTGAGATAGAGTCTCACTCTGTCACCCAGGCTGGAGTGCAGTGGCACAATCTCGGTTCACAGTAGCCTCCACCTCCTGGTTCAAGTGATTCTCCTGCCTCAGCCTCCCGAGTAGCTGGGACTACAGGCACGCGCCACCACGCCTGGCTAATTTTTGTATTTTTAGTAGAGATGGGGTTTCACCATGTTGGTCAGGCTGGTCTCTAAATGAGACCAGCTGACCTCATGACCCGCCCGCCTTGGCCTCCCAAAGTGCTAGGATTACAGGCGTGAGCCACTGTGCCTGGCCTACCCTTTTCTAGAATAAAAGTTCCCATTTCTCAAAGCATAATTGAGCTAGGCATTAGGAAGTCACTAGCCATTAAAATGCATTGATAGCCAGATGGAATGACTGATAACCAGAAGCCTCCAGGGCAGATTTCTATTTTGAACATGACTCTTTGCACACAGCAGGTGACTAGTACATATTCATTGGCCGAGATCATTTGTGATGAAGGCATTTCAGCTAGCGTGGAGGAAGAGTTGTAGACCCAGATGGGGGAAAGAGAGCTGCTGGCTGGTGTCAGATAGACCAAGTTTCACAAAGCGATGAGCTCTTTTTCCAGTCTCATCTCCATCCTGCTCTGCGTCCTGGCCACACACAGCACTTTTGGCCCAGTCCATTCTTTCCTAATGTCAAAATTGCATCTGACCTTCCAGGCACAGGTCAAAACCCACTTCCCAGCCGGGCGCGGTGGCTCAAGCCTGTAATCCCAGCACTTTGGGAGGCCGAGGCGGGTGGATCACCAGGTCAAGAGATCGAGACCATCCTGGTCAACATGGTGAAACCCAGTCTCTACTAAAAATACAAAAAATTAGCTGAGCATGGTGGCGCATGCCTGTAATCCCAGCTACTCAGGAGGCTGAGGCAGGAGAATTGCCTGAACCCAGGAGGCGGAGGTTGCGGTGAGCCGAGATCGCGCCATTGCACTCCAGCCTGGGTAATGTGAGTGAAACTCCGTCTCAAAAAAAAAAACAAAAACAAAAACAAAACAAAACAAAAAAAACCCACTTCCCTCATGAAGTTCTCTTTTGGTTGCCTAAACAATACCCACCAACTGTATTCCCCACTCCCCTAACCTTCCTCCCTCCACTATCCCTGTTTTTTTTTTTTTTTTTAATTTTGTTTTGTTTTTTGACAAGGTCTCTCTCTATCACCCAGGCTAAAGTGCAGTGCTTATCACAGTTCACTGTAGCCTCGAACTCCTGAACTCAAGCGACCCTCCTGCCTCAACCTTGTGAGTAGGTAGGACTACAAACAAGTACCTCCATCCAGGGTTTGTCTCCTTCACTAGATCATGAATGCAGCCCAAGTAGGGAATAAGGCTGATTCATTTCTCTGTCACCCATACCCTGTACAGAGCCAAGAACAAAGGAAAAATGATGATAACAAGCAGTTATAAGTGCCTACTATCTGACAGGCAAGGTTCGAACAGTTAACTTGTGTTAACTAATGTATTCCTCACCACAAACCTATGAAGGCTCACTAGGCTCGTGCCCATTTTATAGCTTAGAATATTGAGGCACAAAGAAGGTAAGAACCTTGCCCAGGACCGGCAGGGCGTGGTGTCTCACGCCTGTAATCCCAGGACTTTGGGAGGCTGAGGTGGGCAGATCACAAGGTCAGGAGATCGAGACCAGACTGGCCAACATGGTGAAACCCCTTATCTACTAAAAATACAAAAATTAGCTGGGTGTGGTGGCGCACCCCTGTAATCCCAGCTACTCGGGAGGCTGAGGCAGGAGAATTGCTTGAACCTGGGAGGCAGAGGTTGCAGTGAGCCGAGATTGTGCTACAGCACTCCAGTCTGGTGACAGAGCAAGACTTTGTCTCAATAGAAAAAAAAAAAAAAGAAAGAAACTTGCCCAGGACCACATAGTAAGGGGTTAAGCGAGGGTAGTTGTTTGGCCCATGTTGGGAGACTAAAGGAGTAATGCTGGCTGCTCTTCTCAGGACCCTGTCATTGGCACCAGGAAAGAGGACACACTAACAGTCATCAGAGTGTTATGCAAATATGCTGACTTGGCTTATGTTTAGCTGCTGGTGGAGCCCTGAGTAATTGTTCTCATAGCCAAGGGAACTCCCTTGGCAGGCCTGTAGCACAGTGAAGGGGAGGAATGGAACCATCACAGAGGGAAGACCTGACGTGGCTCTGCTTCTCTGTCTAATGTCCTTGTCTATTCCTCCCCACCCATTTATCTTTTTTGCCTTTTTTCTTTCTTCCTTCCTTTCTTTTTTCCTTCTTTCTTTCTTTCTTTTTTTTTTTTTTTTTTTTTTTTGACAGGGTCTCACTCTATCACCCAGCTGGAGTGCAGTGGCACAATCACAGCTCTGCAGCTTCAACCTCCTGGGTTCTAGTGATCCTCCCACCTTAGCCTCCCAAGTAGTTGAGACCATAGGCATTTGCCACCACACATCCAGCTAATTTTTTAGTTTTTACATTTTTGTGGAGATGGGTTCTCACTCTATTGCCCAGGTTGCTCTTGAAATCCTGGGCTCAGATGATCCTCCTCCTTGGCCTTTCAAAGTGTTGAGATTATAGGCATGAGCCACTGCACCCGGCCTCCACACAAGTCTTATTTTAACATAGGGAGAAACGGAGGCTCAGGTAGAGGAAGAGACTTGTTCAAGGTCTCCCAGCTTACATATGGACTCAAATCTGACCTCTACCCCAACAGAGAACCTCATGCCCCAGCTGCCCCCTGGTTAGAGGCCTCTAGCCCCACCTCAGGTGGCCCCCACATCCAAGGCTGATCCTACTAGGAAATGGAATACCTGACTTGCTGGCACTTTTCTCCAAAACGCCCAGCCCTGCTGAGTCGTGGGTGGTGCCAGGGCCTCATTACCTATGAGTCTTGCTAAACTGGATTTTCCCTTCAGTTGAGCCTGGATTTCCTGAGCTCCTGCTGTCACAGGGCCTGAGCCCAGGGCAGGAAGGCTGTCAGAGCACACTGAGCCATCACAGCCTCACAGCACTCTCCTCTCCCATCTCTCTTGACTCTCAAACCACCAGGAGAGAGGCAGGGTGGAGATTACTGTCCTGTTTTACAGAGGGAAATTGAGGCCCTGAAATGGAGAGGAACTTGTGCAAGGTCAGGAGCCACACAGGGGCAAGGCTGGCTCTTTTACCACATCAGACCAATTTGGTTCAACTTTTATATAACAAGTTGTGAGTCGTTTCTCAGTTGCCTTGGACCTGCAGGTTGACAGTCACCTAACCTGAGCATGCCCAGATGAACCATATGTGCAACCACAGGGGGATCCTAAGTGCTCAGACTAAGAAGCAGGGACTGAATTAAGAAGTGGATAGCACATGCCAGGATCCAGTATCCAATCGGATCAAGCTCTGGCATCACCCCGTGGCAGGAGCCAATCAGATCATGCCTCCCACATCATTATGCTTATAAAACCTGCCCAGCCCCCATCTTGGTGAGACAGATTTGAGCGTTTCCTCCTGTCTCCTTGCTAGTGGACTCGTAATAAAACTTTTCTCAAAAGCCAGTGCCATGGCATTGGCCTCTATGTGCATTAGGCGGTGAGCCCATTGATTGCATGGTAACAGCTCCAGAACCCTGCCTCTTGATTCAAGGGTCACTTGTCTTCCTGGTGTCCCATGTTGGATGAGGGGACTGAGGCGACTGAAACTGAGTTGGATTTCAACAGGAAGCGAAAGGCATAGGAGGATAGAAGTTTCAGTGGAGAGGATTGGGGGCAGCAGGCAGTTGAAAGGGTAAGAACCAGAAAGGTTGGAGAAGATCGGCCTGGGCCTTGAATGCCAAGCTAAAGGCGGCCACCTTTTCCTAAGGCATAGACTGTGAGGAACGTGTCTGTGGGCCGGAAAAGCAGGGCAAGCTCAGCTAAACCAGCCCAGTTTGGGAAACGGGGTGGGGGCACTGGAAGCAGAAACAGCTGCTGGGAGGGGAACAGAGTGGACAGAGAGTGGACATTTGCCCACTTGGCATTAAAGCCCTGTCTTCTGGT